AATCTGTAATCCTGGCAAAAGGCGGCCTCCAAGGCTCCGTTGTACAGGCTTCTCATCTTTAAGTCGTCTTCCCATAGAACCTGTTCCAAAGCCAAAACCGCGTGGATTGGTCAAAGGCGCAAACCAATGATTTTCATTTGCAATGTCCAATGAAAGGAATAAAGCAAACATGACTTGGCAAAGATCTTGTTCTTTGCACAAGTCAGATTTGCACCATGATTCCGAAGTTGCAGACTCTCGAAGTCCACGGCCGTCATCGGCCCGTTGCGCCAAACCTGCAACCTCCGAAAGAATTCCTTTCACTTCGGCCCAAGTCCAATTATTGAAGTAATCGTCTGAGCTGGAAGGCTCGGGGAAATGCGCAGACGTATCGGGCAATGCTGCCTGTGATGTAAGCGCTAAAGCAGATGTTGTGCCAACCATCGTTGTTGTCATAAAACCCATCTGCTCCTCCTTGCCTGCTGCTGCCTCCTCACTTGGCTTGCCAGTAAAAGCTGAGGTCTGTTGGTCCAGCCCAACCATGTAACAGTCAGAACGAAGAGAAGGCACAGCAGGCAGAACGCCCACATCGACAGGCAGCGGGAACTGGCTCGACCAGCCAGCTCCGCTACCAAATCGAAACTGAACGCCCTGCCTGATGCACGTTCAAGAGGCACCGAACCATCATGATACAACTCAATCTTACTTGGCAATGCTCGTTCTCTTTTCTAGCTGCTGCCTGATGTCCAGTACGCATGATGACAGTCTCTGCAATCTCTACAGTATGAATTCGCCGGAATGTCAAAGCAAGGACGAAGCAGCGGCTTGCAAAAGACCGAGAGGTCTAGATTAACACTGAAGGAAACTACCTCGAGGCTGCAGACGTGGCGAGAGGCGAGTGCACGCAGAGGTCTCCTGGGAGTGCAGGATTCTTGACTACACCTAGCGACAACCGACCTGTCATCGACAAGCGGAAGAGTGTCAGCCTCAGGAACCTGAAAGCGAACCTGAACAGCGGGGAGGGAAAGAAGGAGAGCTAAAGCCACAGGGGCCGAAGGATCACCTTGTGGAATGCCCTTACACCCACTAAGCGGGGTGCGACAAACGGCCCCACCGAATGAGAGCCCCCGAGAATGATGCTGCCACTGATGCTCAATGAGCGAAACAATGGCCTCAGGCATGTGAATGCGACGAAAAAGAGAAACACAGAGGCTCTAATCCATGCTGTCAAAAGCCTTACTAGAGTCAAGCATGACCCCGTGTTCCCAAGCATCTTCGGGATAATCCAAATGCAAGACATCACTAACGTCTCAGCGTCCTGACCGCGCACTCCGCCCCCTTGAGTCTTCAGGAGACAGGTGGACAGAACGTCGCGAACTGCCTGCAATTGAAGCCTAGCCCATAACCGGTAAACGAGAGCGCCCACAGCAGCCGGACGAACATCGCCCACCGAAGCAAGCTTGCCCTTTCGTTTCTTCGGGATAACAGCAACTTTCCAGTGACTCAAGTCCGAAGGACAACGATTTTGCCTCTCACAAAGGTTAAGAATGTCAGCAAGCCGAGAAAGAGGCTCATCTGGGAGCCAGACAATCATCTGAGGCGTGAGCCCGTCAGGACCTCCAGCTTTAGTGACACCCTCCTTAGCAACTCTGCGAATTGCCTGGGCCGTGAAACGGGGCAAGACTCGGCCATCCAATGGAAGGCTGATGGACGTACTGCCCGTATCTATTCCAAAAAGCCTCGTTCTGTCCCGCCGTGTCGGCCGAACACCCAATAGTACGACCCCCAAAATCAGGCAGAGCTGGCAAAATGGTGGCCGGCTGCTTAAAAGCTTCGCCCGTCTCAAAGGGAACGGGGGCGGCTCCTTGCGGCAATCTGCCTTCTTTCGTTTTGTTTTTTGGGAGCTCTTGAACTCTTTCTTGATCGTTCTTGAGGTCACTTGGGGCATGACCTTTTCTTCGCGTTTGCTGCGCACCTGTAGCCAAGGCAGGTGCGCCCCGCTGCCACCACGCGGAGGTGTATACCAGGCAGCCCATACCCGCGGACCAGGGATCGGCATCCCCTAAGCGGCTAATCAAACCTGACCAGTTGGACTCACTCGAGATCCACTCCCCGTAGATCCAGGTCTGATGGGAAAACAAAGGGACATGAATAAGATGAGCCAGGCGCTCGAGGTCGGGGGAATCGGATCGTCCTCGGCTGGGAGCCATGAGCGCTGCCACGTTGTCGATGAACCAGACTCCTTCTTGCGATATCGAAAGGAGGATGCTCGCGAAGCCAGCGCAAACAAAACCACAGATAACTCGCGCTGCGCGATCTTGATATCGCCTGGCAAAAATGCCCGGTGTGGCCTCGTTGATTTCTGCGACGAAAGCTTCATGCGCGGGGCTGCGGTTCTGCCAAAGCAGGAGAAACCCTCCTGCGCCCTGCCTGGGCAAGTCTTCAGCGGCATCGCTTGCCGGCAGAAACCGCAGGAACTGCGAAGGGAGAACCTCCGCTTGCCTACGAGGCTTGAGACGGAGGACTGCTCGCACCACCTCGAATGATGCATGAATGGAGGGAGTCAACTCCCGCTCCGATTCATGTTGCCGGTCCTTCAAGGGATTGAGCCCTCCTGTCCCAATGCGATCGTAAACCCCCTCCTCCAAGAAACTCAGCATCCCGTAAAGCTTGGATGACAAATCTGCTGGTAGCGCTCCAGCTTCCTCGGCTTGCGTCAGCAGGCTCTCCACTTTTTCTTGGAGGCGTGCTCCAACCCAAAAGAGCACAACGTGGTCTCGCTGCAACGCCTTGAAGTCCCAGTCCAGCCCCAAACATGCCCCTGCATGGACATGTTTTGTCGTTTTTGCATCGGCGACATGGAGCCCATCATGCAGTTGAGCTCGCCAAAAGCCTGTTGGCCTGTTCCTCTAGCCGAGGATAGGTCTGTCAAATGGGCATCGTCGATGTACATAAACACCATGGTGCAGACAAGGCGTCTACCAACCGACTCCGTGAAACGACTGAGCCTGTTAAAACTAGTCACCGCCAACAGGAGTTCAAACAGCAGGCCGGAGTAAACCTGGTACACGGCTTGGCCTCGCTCGTAGTGTCACCACACCACCAGAGAGACTGTTCCTCATCCATGGGACAGTGCCGGTTTGCATCCGGCCAGTCTTCTCATCCCCCCCCCCCACTGGTCAGGTTCCAGCAGGTCCTGGGACTCGGACTCGGCCGGCGAGAGGTGGCGCATTGCCACGGAGAGCAGGGCGAGGGCCCTCGGGATGTTATGCTGTAGTTGCATAGCCTGGCGACGAGCACCCATGTCATAGGTCCAAACCCCCATCTCATGCATCTGCCTTTCCTGGTCACCCCCAGTGCTGGCTGCCGGCTGGGCTCTCCCTGATGGACCCCCCTCCTCGCTGTCGAAGGGCCTCGATTTCGTTGAGCAGATATTGGCAAGCCGCTGAATCCTCATCGCGGAATGACAATGAAGATTACACTCTGGAGCTGTCAGTGCAGCCTAGCCTGGTCTGGCAGCCCAGGGTTGCCAATCCTTGGGTCTCATGCAACAGAGCGCTCCAACCACAAATGGACAACGCCTGGGTGAGGGTATGGCATCGCCCGCTGGGGGATCCACTTCCCCAAGCTCAGCCTCCCCCTCTGCCGGGCGTGGGCCCCTTCAAGCCGTGGGTTTTTGGCTTGGCTATGCACTTCGCCGCACCGTGGTTTGGTGCCCCGCAGACGCTCTCTCCACGCAAGACCACAGCGCAACGATGGGCCCTGTTTGCACGCTGTAGTTTGTTCGTGCACGTGCCGCGTTGGAAGTCGCAGAGCTTAACACCATCCTGCGTGATCCGCGCTGTGGGCTTCCCAACCACCACCGTCCTGAAATAAAAAAGCGACAGGGGTTTGTTTTCTCTTGGCACCGAAGCGCCGGGCTGGGCTTCTACCTCAGAAGCTGTCCCGACGAACCAGTGGGCGTCACGCGCCTCCATGACTTCCTTCACCACCGTGCAGTGCTCGTCGCCAGCAAAGTGCTGGTACTCAGGAGCTGACTTATGCCGACGAGCTCGTGAGCCAGCACGGGTGGATCCATGAGCGTGAGATGCGAGGATCTCCGGGACAGGGAGGCAGCGGAAAACATGGACAGCACCGACGAGAAGCTGGAGACCTGCTGGCTACCTCGCCGACCACACGGAGGAAGGGACACAGCAGCGCCGTTCTCAGAAGCAGCTGATAGCCGGCAAATGTGTTGGCGTCGGCTTCGCAAGCACCACTTCATACCAGTTCGGGATCAGAGGAGCAGTCCACCACCCGTGCAATGCGCGGCGCCCAAGCCCAAGAGCGTAAACGCTCCGCCACCAGTGCTAAAGCAAACCGCGCTCGTGCTCGCACGTTTGTTTTGCTCGCAGACTGCTTCCATCATGATCTATACAAGACTGCACATGTGTGAGGATCTGTCTTCGCAAACGATCACCGCCAGAACTCAGGACATCCTGTCTCCTGGCCGCAGTCCCTCCAAAGCCCGAATATGCCGGATCGGAGTTACAGGGGTCGATCGAGGTCATGCCCAAGTCATGCCCGGGGTGCTTCTCACCATGTAAACAATGGACAACAAGAAGTCATGCCACGTCTTAACGACGAGGCTTTCCCAAGTGCAACCACGTCACACATGCCATGAGTGTGAAATATGTATGAACCAATGTATTGATACTTTTACTTGAACTGACACACTCAACCCGTTCTCGTGGGAATACAAGTACAGCATGCATAAACAGCAAGCCCATCTAGCAGTGAAGCACTAGTGAATGCATGGGTTACCCCTGCCTGTGCTGCACTCACTTCGGCACTAAACCCTGTCAATCTCCGAACTGGCTTGGTGTAACGTGTTTACATTGGAGGGAGGGCGCGGCATTGCTAATTATTTCAGTCCTTCTTTCTCTCTGGTCTCGTTCTCCCTGCGACGGTACACGTTTTGATGTGTCCGCACACCTTTATGGAAACCACAAGCAAATCCTGGCCCATAGCAAGCCAGCTGCATGGTGTAGATTGCCCTGTAGGCCGTTCCGTAATGGAGCCATATCCACTGTCGAATTTCAAAATCTTGCTCCTCGTCAAGTATGAAATCCTGCAGCCTTGGATATAACGGAAGCAACCACACCCATTTGTAAGAACATGCTGGGAACCGCACAAGTTTCCCATCAAGAGAGCACCCATCATCATGAAAATCCCAAGCAGTGCCATTGACCAGCAGAGCGAAGGGAGGAAAGAGCTGCAAGCCTGGAAGACGGAGAGAACGAGTCAATCATCGGCCCGGCCTCGTGTGCATGGCCGTGCCTGGACAAGAAGCCGCAGTCCTCAAAGCAACGACCACTGTCACGCACTCACTGGTGGAAGTCCGGACAAATGCGGGCCACCTCGAAAAAGCCGGAGTGCTCGTACGATTCGGACGGCACGCACCTGCAACGGGGCTGCACTCACACCGTCCCACGTGGCTCTCTGCTGAGCGCCGCACCAGCTTGATGGTCCGCAGAAGACGCAAAGTTGCTGTGTTGTTCAAGGATGTCTGGATCAAAGGCGTCAGGATGTACAAGTCAATGCAGGAAATCAACACGAGGAGGCTGTCAAAAACGTTCATGAGCTCTCGAAAGTAACGCAATCTCTCGGAATAAATCCGCCAGACCAGCTCCAAAATGAAAATGGCCACGAAGAGGTGCTCCAAAACCTTGTTTCAAACCCCAACGCAGCCCTTTGACCTCCCATGCCTCGCTCAAAAGCTGAGCGGCCATAATCACCGGAGCCGAAGACTCCCAGATGCTTCGATCGACCACGCCAATCGTCACACCTGCGTTGTTGCCCTGACTTTCCAGGTCGATTACCATGACCAGGGCATTCCTCGGCTGTGCTCGCGTCCCTCCCAATCCCTTTCTCGAGTGGCCGAGGTGCTAACACATGTTTATCCTCTGCGTCCGTGATTCCACACTCACCTTTCCTACCTCACACACACACTCTCTCTCTCTCTCTCTCTCTCTTCTTCCACACAGCCACATTGTAAGGCAAGTTCCTCGCGCCCTCTCTCTCTCTCTCTCTCTCTCTCTCTCTGAACCAGGTCTAGAGGGGGTTAACCCCCACCCGCCCTCCACATCAGTGCAAAACACGGACTAAGGGTCCTCCCTCAACCCTTACGACCTCCGCTTGATTTAAACACTCCCAAAAACTAACAGTCTATCCAAACGTCATCATGCAACCATGCGAAAACCCCATTCGGCCTCCAATGCTCATTGGCTTGCTGGGAGACTTTGAAAATTTGCCTGCCTCTCTGAATGGGCACAAACTCAACAGAGTAGGGTCAAGCTACGCTGCTTGTTGGCAACTGGCTCTTCCCGGGCTCCGTCCCGAACGTTATGCACTCAGGACTAAGTAGATGCGCATCAGAGCCTACCGGTTCCCCTCGAACGCCGAAGCCACGGCTCATCAGGACAGCAACGCCAACAACTGTATCGAAGCCGTTCCGGCGCTCCTCACGGCGAACACAGAACGCAGCAAGCAGCACATCCAGAAGCGCATGGAAGGGCAACTGGACTGACACGCATCCGTCTTGAAGAAGGCTGTAAGGGCTCCTGAGCGAGCTTCAAGGAGCTTGCGGCAGCTGATGTTTCGTCCTGGCCGGTGACGGTGTTCCTGCCAAATCAGGTCGCCTTGTCCAACCCAAGCCCTGTCGTGGCACAGTCCTGATGCGGGAGGTGCTTCGACTTCCCAGGCCCAGGTTCCTGTCATGATCGTGAAGCTGTAAGAGACTTAGGGATCGGTTTCGCATCTCCCTGCCTTGATGAAGGCGATTCGTTGCTTCCGCGTCTTTCCTGCACCAAGGCATACAACGAAGGCTTAAAAGACGTACCGTCTGACCAGGCCTTGGGAGAATCGTCTGTAGCTGTAGCTTTTGCAGCTATGGCGGGTGAGCCGATTGACGGCGTGGCTGCGGCTGGTGTAATCCCCATCTGTGGGTAGGGATCGTTCTCCAGCTCATCAAGTTGGAGACAAGGATGCGGCTGGAGATTGCCGAAGGTCACGTCCGGGCCCTTGGCGCGGAACTGGGTCGGGAAGGGGAATTGCAAAGTGCAATTGCCACAAGTCTTGCTCTAGCAGTCAATATATACTTTTGCATCAGCCCCGGTTGCATCTGGATCCCCTTCTTCAACCAGACCAGGGCAAGGAACACAACCGCCCGCACATGCAGCAAAATAGTCGTAATGAAGTAATATGGACCATCCTCCCATGTGTATGTACGTCAGACAAGGCATGGGCAAAGCTTCGCACGCATGAGTGAAATTCACGATCGATAGTTGCCTCGCCTCGATATGAGCTAGACAAGACTAAGCTGGCACCATATGGTGTTTCCTGGGTCCATCCGGACAAGTTCATATCTGACACTGTTGACTGCTTCCTCTGTCAGGCTGTTTCGTTCATGTTGCAGCATCTTTATCTCAGTTTCTCTAAAGTGAAGTGCGGAAGCAACCCTTTCTGTGCAGTATATCTTGGTGTAGACATGCCTTGTTCATGTGCTTGTCGTTCAAGAATACCCTCAGTAGCTGTGGTTTCCCGTGTCAGGCAGTACTCATCAGTACTCTTCTCGTAGTCTCTTCGAAAGCATGCGGAACCGGCTGCTGTATCTAATTATGCCTGACTCTGTAAGCTAGGGTCACTGTTGCACTATCCTGCTAGGATGCTCAGAAATCAAGTTTCCGCTGCGCCGACAAAGCTAGTCACCCGCAAAATTACTAGTACCTCTTATTATGCGAGGCCTACTTCGACATGGTCGATGTATCATACTTTCTTACATAATCTGTGGTATGCCTGAAAGCTCAATGCTGCTGGATATCCTCTGCGGGATGAACATGGTGCTGGAAAGCCTGCGCAAGAGCACGCACTGACACACTAGCCACCTCTAATCATGAAACACCTGAAAAGCCAGACAAGGGCACAAGCTAAGAGAGTACTAAGGGCATCCGACCAGAGAACAAAAGGTACCCACATGCGGTAGCTCTATGGCAGCTTGGAAGGATGTGGCCAGGTGAAGGGTCATGGGAGGTCAGGGTAGCATTTGAGACTGAGGGACGGGGGAGGAGAGAGAGGCTTGGCGACAGTCCTGCTACCAACTCTTGCAGACTCTTACACTCGCAATCCCCAGTGCATCAAAGCGGCATGACAAAGCATATCAGCTGAACGTGAGAGGCAACTGCCAATTACACAGGCTCGGTTTCGTCTCACGGTCCACGGTTAGGGACACAAGGAGTGTCGCTTCTCCAACCAAAACACAAAGCCTGACTCCCAGTCCAAGAGAGGAGCGAGACGAGTCAACAAACAGGAAACGGAAGCTTCAAAACGTGCTGCGTCTTCCAGACACTGACACAGGCACATCAACTTGAGCACCTCAACGTCGCCCTCAGAGCCGTTCATCTCGTAAGAGTCGCGGCTGGTGTCCTGGTAGTCCTTTTCTGTCGGCATAGAGCCATTCAGCCTGAGCTCAGACCAGCTGCCAGCCCCAAGTTTGACGTGGCAGCTTCGGGAAGGCTTTTCCCCTCCTTCCGACGTCTTAAGCATCTGCCCCGCCGCCTTACCGACGCCATCAACTCGGTGCGGTGGCTCTCCACGGCTTCTTGAAGTTGCATCTGCTGTTGCATTGACAACGAGAGCCTCAGTAAAGATTGCAAACTTAATTCTGAAATATCAAGCAATAATAAACTGTGCCTCATCAATCTGGCCACCATCGAGCAACCGAGAAGCAGCTCACTTTGCAAGGCAGCCAAAGTTTCTCCCAAGAGCTCCGGATCGACATGGTACTCCACAAGTGCACCTGGACGTGTTCAGGGGCGCCAGTTTGCTGGCACGCGCTCACTCGACAGGCTCGCGTGGCACCTTGCACAGCCATCTTGAACCGTGCTCAGCGGGCCTTAGAGCCTAGCAAAACTGGACGAAGTTATAGCTCGTCTCACCGAGCTCAGCTTCATGCCAATTGAATGGTTCTAGCACGCCTCTACGAAGTCACCCTGCAGTAGAATGTGATCTCCAACGATTGGAATCTAGTGGTTTCTTTCTCTTGTAACCATTTCACCACTTATTGCCTATTGCCAATTTTGGTCTCAGAGCCGAGACGTGGCAGCAGATTGTGCCATCTGGGAGAAGTCGATGCAGAATGTCACATGGCGCAGACGTCAGAGCCTCATCCCGTGGAGCCGAACCCTGCCTCCAAGGATCGGTACACAGACAGATGAGGCTTGGGAGGCTTCGACGCCGGGCTGCCTCAACTCCAAGATGCGGTCATAGGCCGCGCGTGCTGCCTGGTTCGAGCAGACGTGATAAGCACCCGCCGGCGTGGATGCGCATGTGATGTCTAGGCATGCAAGTCGGACAGGCAGGTTGGAACCGCTTTCTACCATGTCACATCCGTCCTTGAACTGCTCGGCATTACCCCCTTTGTCTGGATGCAGGCGCATGGCTGCAGCCTGCGTGCAAGTGTTTCACCAGGGCACTCACGGGCAGAGACCGGCAAACAGCTCAGCATGTGCGTTCGGCCTTGTAGGCTTTCGCGAGGTCCCCGTCAGAGATTTCAGGTGTGACGCCAAGAACTGCATAAGCCTCGTGATTCTGCAAGTGCTCCAGCATTGCCTTCCAAGAGCATGGCGAGAAGCGTGGTAAGCTGTCCCAAATCAAACATACAAATCAGACACAGTGCTGACGTGCTCAGATCATGCGCACGACGTTGCCCGATTCCTTTTACAAAGTCGTTGCTTCTTTCGACACCGAAGACAGAGGCTGCGAAAATGATCCTTCTGATGATTCGCGATGCATCTTGCCGCCGCCCCGTGCCCAACCCTGACATGTCAGCAGGGGAGTTCCGAAGGTGAGCTTACTCGTGGTCCACACGAACTATCTCACGCACTCAGGCGCTCAGTGATGAGACAAAGGCTGTTTCAAGAATCTTTTCCCAAGTTTTGATCGGCTTGAGACCGCAGCCACAGGGCTTGAGATCGCCGCGAAACTTGCCGAGGGAGACTGTCGAAGGTTCAATGACGGATCCTACAAAGTTCTCGACGGCAGCGTCAGGGTCACGGGCCCGAAAGGCCGTGAGCCGGATTCCAATCGAGGTCATGTAGAGCAGGATACGGGATGGTCGCACAAGAGGACGGCGGATGCAAGAACAATCATGAACAGGTGACGGACGGAAGTTTAGAGGTCCTCGGACTTGTGGAGCTGGAACCGGGGTGGCTCCTCTGCTCTGAACTGAGCCGGCTCGGCTTCGGTATGCAGGATGACCCATGAGCTGCGAGGAGTCTCGGCGCCGCTAGCGAACTTTCACCGGGATTGCATCTACTGCTCGGCAGTTGGGTGGACCTGAGGAGAATTCTTTGCAGTGCAGGGTCCCACGTAGAGTCCCGTCCGCACCGACCTGTCAGAACATGTTGAAACAGTGTCTTCTGCGGCGGTGCGTATGTTACCAGTGCAGCCCTAAAGCCCCATTTCTAGTCGAGAGACTGCGCAGCATACTCTTTGCGAATCATTAAGGCAGTCAGACTGCAGTCACGATTGACTAATGTCAGAATGAATGAAGACGATCTGCATGTTTTGGAAGGTTTCCACCAAGCAAGATTCGGCCCAATGTAGTGTTTAGCATCCGACCCGACCCGGTTTGGGGCGCATATTTTCGACGGGCTGTCGAGGGGTAGGAACGTTGCTATCCTGGCAAGTTACATCGGGTTCGAGAATACACTGGAGACATTTTGGAACGAAAGCTTCGCCGAAGAACACTGGAGCACACCAACCGCAAATGCCGCATCAAGTCCAATCTGTGGAAAGCTAACGTAACGAAAACTTGTGTGCTTCGGATTCATTCTGCGAAGAGTGGTGGGGCTCAGAAGCCTGTTGCGGATTTCGTGCCCGGGGTCTATGCTCCAGTTTGCTTTGGCACGTTACAGGGCTGCGAACTTGGCTCTTGCAGGTTGCACATGGGCCCTCCCGAAACTCTTTGCTGTTTTAGTTTAGCGCCTTTAGAGCCACACCCTTCTTAGTTGCGGTGTGCAGTCGCGTTGATCCCGGACCTCATATAATTATGTGAGGTTCCCGCACCAAAGCACTGGGTCGTGGCCGTGGTGACCTTCAGCCAGTCATGATCAAGACGAGTTCGCGCTCTGCCGAAGGTCGGGCCTCACAGCTGAGATGTGCGCGGTTTCTCCAACATCAGGAGAAACTCAGGTCGCAAAAATCGGCCGAACAGGCATTTGTCAAGCCCACTGCCCAGCAATGCCCAGCACTAAGAACGTCTCCGGGTCGGCTCCCACGGGTTGTCAGACGTAATGCCGGAGAGAGCGCCGCTATTTAGACAATGCTTCCTCAATCCGGATTGTCACTGCATGGCCGACTCATCGCCAGATGGGTAAGTGGCACTTGCGTGCTTTCCAACATAACGGCTGCTTCGGCATTGTTTTCGAAAACACGAGTTACAGCTCCGCTCCGAAACACACCCAAAATGCTTCCTGCAATTCGGGATCCCAGAGCCACAAATGTCAAGCGACGAGCAACAGGCACAGGTCCGCTGCTGCGCGAGATTGGTTTGATCACATAGTGTGCTCTATTGGATCTGGTTTCAGCTGCTCTTTGGAGGTGGTAGCGTTGAGCAAGCCTGTGCCTCGACACGGCCCGAATGATCATTTGCAGCTGTGCCTTCATGGCGTCCTTCTGCCAAGAAAGGTCCAGGAGGTAGCGACTCATCTGCTCGTTCTGCTCCTCCAACTTTCGTGCGGCTTCCTCTTCAACCCTTGAACCTTGAACCCAACTGCAGATTCCGCCCGGGCCTCAAGCTCGCTCGGCGACAACAAGGCCGAAGCCTCGACCTGACCGCTACGCTGCTGCGCTGCTGCGAAGGTCTGGCGCGGCTGATGCGTCTCTCGCAGCGGCGCACTCTCTCGAAGGCTTTTTAGGGCAAGCGGCCGCTTGGGAGTCCGTCCGATCCAACTCTGCCTGTGCCAGTGCCGCGGCCTCAAGTCAAGCATTGAGATTGACCAAACACGTGCTCAAGTCTCTGTTGGACTGCCGGTCTCTGCCAAAGCGCTTTGGCGGCCGTTGCTCCTGCACCTTCACGATCATCAGGAGTACTGGCGCCTTAGGCTGAAACGCTTTTCAGAATGTTCAGGATTGAACCCTCGTCAATACCCAATTGTGACGTATTCTGACGGATGGTGCAGCTCGAACCCTGTAGGGCACTCGCGACTTTGAAGCAGCTTCGCAGTCTGTCTCAACACCTCCAGGTCACAGTGGACCTGCCGAGTGCTTGCAGGGCAAAGCGAGACATATGATCCCATCTCTGCGACCTCATGCAAAGCACCATGTCGTCACTACTGTACGTGCCTGGAGGAAATGGGATAAGCCTCCGAGTCTTCGCCTTGGCTTTGAGCATCCCTCCGCACCTTCCACGCCCCTGTGATTGGCGGCTCTGGCGGCTCCTCTGCCCTAATAACGGCCCAGCTGCTGCGGATGTGCCTGCCACATGCATGCCGCAAGGCTCCACTGGTTGATCTTGTTCCTCTCCCTCTTCTTTCGGTGGGCATCTTGTTTGCTTTTTGCGGTAAAGTCTCTCCGTCTTTTGCATCTCATGCGGCATGCTGGTTGGCGAGTTGTGTTTGGGGCAGGACCTGCAAATTGGGTGGAAGTTGTTTTGGCCTGGTTTGGAAGGGGGGCGCGTACATGTTCTTGTACGTCGCTTCAGAAGACAGCCCTGTACGAAGACTGTACAAGACTGGTGGGAATTCCATTGCCCACATGTGGTCTTGGTCAAACTCGTTAATTTCAGTCTCCCTCATCGCGCTATACTGTTCTGCAGACTCGAGCACTAGTCGAAAAGACAGCCGTTCCTGTTCAATAGCGGTGAGGTGCTCAGTGTTCAGGTCGAATCGAAAGTTCGTTGGGCAGGTTGAAGGTTCTCTTGAGAAGTCTGTACGACCTGTGCTCTTGCTTTGACGTTTTGACCGCTACGTCTTGCGGGAGCTTCAGCTTTAGCCTTAGGTCCGGTAGATACCCATGGTTGAGTAGCAGGAGGCTCTTTCGTGGAGCCATGCCCTGCGAGGCTTTACTGTGTCAAATTCACCTGAAGTAGCACCAGGTCCTCTAGCGACAAACTTAAGGTTTTGCCTATTATAGTAATATTATAGTAAACCTCCATTTTTGGAGTCATAAAAGATTCACGACGACTTTTGGAGTAGTTGGACACTTGTCAGAGGGTTCTGTCGTGAGTGACATTGTCGTGGGTTCTTCCTTGTCCTGGACAACTGCGGCAGTTACAAGATTAGTTGCTCCATCATACAAAATGAGAAACATTAACTTAGCTACCTTGCCCTGTTGGCCACCCGCCTTCAGCGACTGCGCAGGTCAGGCCTATTTTATGCGACGGGCCGCCTGCGGCCGCGGTCCGCTCCGACGCCTACTACAACAAAAGGCTCAGGTCTGGGTGGCGCCCAAAGCTGGCGCGAAAGTTGCCGTGGCGGTACCCTGTCGCGTCCTTAGCTCCGTCTGCCCTTGCCGAAGCAAAGGCAGACGTGAGAAAAACCTCAATCAGGGCGCTCCTCCCTCCCCGCACGCCGCGAGAAGAGGGACACCCATGCGCCACTCGGCGTTCCGGATGCAAGCGCAGAGCAAGAAGGGAAGAAGGACGAGGAAGAACTCTGAGAGGAGAGAAAAAGGAGCACCTCCAAAAGACATGATCAAAGGATGGGACCACCGCCTCCCTGCAAGCATGACAGACATGAAGAACAGGACCAGAAGGAGTCCACTTCGCATCTGTGGAGGCCCCTCCGCACATCACGGCGATGCCCTCCCCATCTTGTTCCTGAGCAAGGGCACGAAGCCGAGGCACCAAGCTAGGACCGACCCGAAGCCCAGCAGCAGGAGCGATCGCGCAGTCCCGACGCGACACATGAGCGAGCCAAGCCCCAACCTCCGAGACCCGCCAGTATTCCCGAAGCAAATGAGCAGCCTTATCCTGGCGGGCCCGGCAGGCCCTGACATCCCAAGCCCAATGAGCATCAACAGGTTACAACAAGGCAACCCTGGACCGATCAACAACAGACCTGTCATCGACAAACAGAAGAGTGTCAGCCTCAGGAACCTGTGAGCGAACATGAAGAGCGGGAAGGGAGAGAAGCCAAAGTCACAGGAGCCCAAGGGTCGATTTGGGGAATGCCCTTACACCCACTAAGCGCTGTGCGACAAACGGCCCCACCGAACGAGAGCCAACGAGAATGATGATACGCAATGAGCACAACAATGGCCTCAGACATGTGAATGCGCGAAACAGAGAATGCTATCAAAAGCCTTACTTTGGTCAAGCATATCGGCGTGTTCCCAACCATCTTCGGGATAGTCCCGATGCAGAGACATCACCAAAGTCTCAGCGTCCTGACCGCGCACCCCGCCCCCTTGAGTCCTCAGGAGACAGGTGGAGAGAACATCGCGAACTGCCTGCAAGCGAAGCCTAGCCCACAGCCGGTAGGCAAGCTTGCCCTTTCTTTTCTTAGGGATAAAAGCAACTTTCCAGTGACTCAAGTCCGAAGGAAAACGGCCCTCTCACACAGGATAAGAATGTCAGCCTGCATGTCAGCTCCCTCTAACACAGGATAAGAATGTCAGCAAGCCGAGAAGGAGGCTCATCTGGGAGCCAGGCAATCATCTGACCCATCAATCAGGACCCCCGGCTTTAGTGACACCCTCCTTGGCAAATTTGCGAATTGCCTGAGCAGTGAGAGGAGCAAGACTCGGCCATCCAACGGAAGGCTGACGGACATACTGCCCGTATCGATTCCCAAACGCCTCGTTCTGGCCCACAGCATCGGCCGAGCACCCGAAAGTACGACCCCAGAAGTCAGGAAGAGCCGGCAGGATAGTGGCAGGCTGAGTAAGAACTTCGCCCGCTCAGTGGTAAGAGAAGAGGGGTGGCCTCCTCCCGCTTAAGCCAACGACAAGCGGCACGAGTGGTGCGGGTGTCTTGGTACCACTTGTCAATGGCCTTCCTTTGTTTGCTTTGAAGCACACCCTGAAGGCGCTCATTAGCCAAAGAAAGACCAAACCCGTAACGATGGCTATGAGCAGCCGCAAGCTCATCCGGAGCCCAGGCGGACCGCAAAATAGCGTTATGAAGAGAATCAGGAATGACCCTACCCCGAAACTGTAAGCATCTGGCTTCTTGAAGCCTGCGAATGGCTCTACGAAGTTTCCGCTCCTCACAGCCCTGCCTACAAGCAACCTTGTGGTTACCAGTTCTGAGCGTGGGGCAAGAACCAAGGGATCTTTCAGCAACAGAACCTCAGACCCGCATAGCCATGCTTCTGCGTCCTTGCACCACTGAGTCCACGCCTGGTCCAGCTTCTGCAAAGAAGCAACCCAAACTTCGGCCGTGCAAGCAACGTTCATCCAATTGGAGCCTTTTTTAGGATCAAAATCCTTCGCCGTGCAGGCAGTGCGAGAGAGTCTCCACTCCATGCCGACAGCGGGAAAACTGGCCCACTGTGGCGAGCGACCGCTCTAAGAATACCCCCACTCATCGTCATGGCCGAGGCCCAGGGACCGGAGGTCATGGGGATGTTGCCATCCAAGCCTAATATCCAAGGAGCGCCTTGCAAAGCCTCAACTTGATGCGCAAGAGAGTGGAGAGTGGAGAGCATCAGGATTGGCGCGCGGAACGCTGCAGTGAGCAAACACGTGAATGCTACCAGGAATCCCAAGCAACTGAGCAAAGATAGTCTGAAACTCCGCCGAGAAATGCCTTTCAAGCTCCAAAAGCCCAAGGGGTTTTCTGGCCAACAGTGCCACACCGCCCCGTCTAGAGGAGGGCGCGGGGACCACAAGCATTTGCCAACCCAGCCTTTGAGCCTACTGAGAGGCCCCAGTAACACCGCAAGGGGTGAGGTTGACCTCTTGAAGAATAAGGAGATGAACCCCGGACAATCAAGCCTGAGATATCGGCATGTCTATGCCTGTGGCGGCATGACATCTTTGCCAGCTTTGCCGCAGTCCTTCCAGATGGCCTGTCTTCAGGTAAACTGCGGCACGGCCAGGGTTTTGAGAACTGACGCTAGAAACGAGAGCACCACGAGACATCAGAACATGACAAGCACGACATTCATGGAAGGCTCATGAGCTGCTGTTGGGGCGCTTGTGAATCCTGCACGTGTGAACCTCATGCACAAGCAATGTCATGACTGCCCTTCCAACGCCTGTCTTGACAGCATTCCCACACAGCCTTCCAGCGGGATGGAGGATCAAAAAAAAAATTA